TCTTCGTTATGCTCAGCATTGTCAGTCGACAGACCCTAGAGATCTGACTCAAGGTTCCTTGGAGGAACAGCTGCTCAATAGTCATCAGGACCAGAACACTATCTAACTTCTAGTCAGATGGGCAAGCCAAGCACCTACCTCTGTGTTCGGCAAGTCTGTGATCTCACTGCATTTTGCCTGCTTTCTGCTCCAGTTCAGCCACACGTGCTGGAACTTCTCCTGGACATCTTGTAGTGTCACACCTTCCTTGAGGTGTTCAATCTGGATGAAGAGTTAAGTTACAACAGCACATGTCAGCATTTGTCATTTGCCAGCCCTCAGATGGGGATGCTCAAATGCAGCAAGAAGAGATCTAGTCAGAGCACACAGCCTCATTGAGCCCTGGTCCAGAAGGAGGGAGTTGAAGTCTTCCCTGCCTTAAGGGGGGGGGGGCGCATATAAAGAGGGAAGGGAATCAGAGGCTGGCTGCTTTCTGTATTTGTCAGAAGGGTTCAGCCTCAAGAAGTTGAGGAGTCCTTACCAGTCCCATGGTTTGTTGAAGCTGGGAAAGCGCCTCACTGATGCTGTGGCTGGTGCGTCTCATCTTGTCCAGGGAATAGCGGTAGGCGCGCTGGCGGAGTTTGGTGGACAGGGAACCCAGACGCACAAAGTAGCTGCGATGCTCTTGTGGTTGTGCCGCAGACACTTCAGCCCCTTCCACGGATTCCGCAAGTTCCGCTAGAGGGAAGGTTGTTCAGATTAGATGTTGGGGGAAGGAGCACAAGTTGCACTGTCCTACCCTGAACACTTGGAACGAGAGCTTCCTAGCACCTTTTAATACCATGGAAGTAACCTCAGCCTTTAAGAGGAGCAATAGTTAACCCCACTAACACAAGACAGTCTTAAAGTGCTGCATAGTCTGATCTTGCTGAAACAAGACTGGAATAACACTGCTACATCTCTATTACTAACTCCACTAAAGACCACCAAGCCTGGTTTTGAGCATTTGGATAAGGTCTAGTCTTCCCCCATCTGTCTCATGCTTCCCCTCCAGGACCATCTTGTCATTTAATCTGGGTACATGCCCACCAACGCAAAGCTGAGGCATGAGCGTTACAATATGAAGTTACTGTAGGACAAGACTGAGACGCCTAGAGGAGGTTGGACCAGAGGAAGGGTTACCCTGGTTTTTCAAAGAAATTTGCCCCCATCATTCCTGTGCTCTGACCTAGTTCATCCTCAGTCATGGGAAGATAGTGATCCAAGAGCGCTTCAGATTTCTCTAGCATGGCTTCCATCCCACTTATGGCCAGTTGGCCCATTCTCGACTCCCCAACGGTGCTCATGCCCTCTGCCACCACAGATCTGGTGGTCTTCATACAATCCTGCATGGCCTCCTTGGTCATGTCCACCACTCTGGTCATGCTCTCTTTGACATCTGTCAGTGTGTCAGACATGGCCTAGAGGGAAAGATCCAGCAAGGTATGATCAGTAATTCAGAGCAACAAAAGCCCATATGGATTGAGGGATTGAAGTCCAAGCAGTGGATTACCATCTGCTCAGCTCCAGAAGTCAGACATATGAATACCTGGTAAAATTATGATTATTCATTCAAGTGAATTATGAGACCCCATTAGGTGCAGATGTCAAACATGCAGTTTACAGAGTCCATGTTTAAAAAGGTAGCTTGGATTTTTTTTAAACCTTATCTTGATGATTCACACAGGGAGAAGTGAATCTCCCATGCATCTGTCACATGGTATGGTGGGTGGTGACATGAGGAGACCTTCCCTGCCCAGCCATCTCCACCCTCCATTCCTGGCTTGGCCTCTAGAGAGGAATGGGTTGGTCCCAAGACATGCTGCTTTTTCTTCCCAAGCCAATACATGGTGGGCACAGGGTTATTTGGCCCCTCCCCCCAGGATATCCTTCAGTATTCACTCCAGTGTGACCAGCTGCCACCTTCCAGGATGGGAAGGGCCTGGAGATTCAGCTCCTGGGGAGGAGGGAAGGGGTGACCTAGCCTGCATCCTGGCAGAACTCAACCTCTCCCCACCCTCCGCTGTAGCTCAAAGCAGCTTGTCTTCTTGCTTGCACTGTACTGAAGAGTCAGTGGCAACTACACCAGATTGCTGCTAGCCTCACCCAGCTGCCTTTCGTCCACAGGCAGGAGGGGGTTAAGCCCTGAGGTGTTGAGCACCAGAGCCGAGAAAGCCTGACTGCAGAGGTTTCAGCAAACCTGGCCAGAGAGGCTCAGCAGTGGCAAGTACCCAGAGGATGCAACAGTCCCACACTCCCTTGGGACAGGACCCAGGGTGAGGGGAGGTGGGTGAAGAGGATGCTGCGCCTCATCTAGAGCCGTGTGGCACCTCTGGGGTTGGGTCATGACCAGACTGGAAATCACTTCCTCCTGCCACTCTACAGCTTGGCTGATGGACAAAAGCTTCCCTATGGGAGTGCAGTGAGAGTGATGCCCACAAGGCTTGGCTCCTCCTGGCCAGGACTCTGAACTAGAGGGTTTTCCAGGAAGGCCCTGGAACAAGAACCTTCCAGCCATACTTGCAAGCTGAGCACTCAGACCAGGGGTGGCTCTTTGCCCAGCCTCAGCAGTGGAGAAGGGGCACAACTGGGAGGTTAGCAACAAGGGGAAGCATGTAAAAGGTCAACAGTGGAGCAGCAGAGTCACACAACTGCCTGCCCTCTTCCACCAGAGGCTGCACCTTGCAGTGCTCAGCCAGAAGTCAAATGGGATGGCAGGGCCCTGCCTCTAAGAGATGGCACAGCACGGGCTCGGCTGATGGACAAGCAGCCTGGCTTCACCTGCAACAGCTTTGCCCTGCCAACAACACTGCATACCACAGAAACCTGATAAAAGCTACTGGATTCATGCCCTGCCCCCGCCCAGACCTGGCACACAGGCAACTGAGGAATAGGATTTTCTTTCTGGCAGGATCCCACCAGTATTGATGCAGGGAGAGATAGGAAGACCAAAGACAGGACAGTCCCATTTTTAAAAAGGGCATCGGTTCACCCTACATCGGACTAGATACCACCTAATGCTCAAAGTGGTGGCACGGCCTTTTGCTGGAGGAAGCAGAGCAGTATTGCTTGTCTAAGCCCTGGCCATGTCACTGTGTGGGGTGAGTTACCTTCTCAGCCGTCTCTTGAAGGGTTGGTAGATTCTCCTCCACTTTGTCTGGTACTTCAGAAGCCGACTCCGTTCCTGTTGCTTCTGTAGGAAGAGACACCAGGACGTAGTGTCCTTAACGGTCAGTTTTGCTACTGCAAAGCAGAATCTGGCTCACATCTGTCATGTGCTCAGGCAGCAACCGTTGGGCAGCTTCTTCAACCCTATTGACACTTGCAACTAATCTCAGTTTACCAGGGGATTTCCCCATCTTCCCAGTGCAGTGATTGCCTCCCTCTGCCCCAGGCCAAGCATTTTCCTTGTGTAAGGATGCTCGTCCTGGACAGTCTCCAAAGCTGTAAGACTGAGTGTAAAGGTCTCACTCCATAGTCAAGCACTAACTGATCTCCAGCTCAGCCCTCTGGCAGGCACCCAGAGGTTTACAACACCTTGGCTCCAAAAGGTTCAATGAAGTGATCTCATGAAGGGAATGAGTAAGGATGGTCATTTGTGTTCCCATTGAGCAATTGCTGAACATGAATCTTCACCACCCGGCAGTAGTGGATATGGCTGCATGTGCCGTACTAGTCGTTAGAAACACCTGCTTCTAGTATCTCAGGGCTGCTCAATCATTCCTACAGTCACATTAGCCCCACTGCTACTTGCCTCTAGTGCTGCCGGTCTTTTGATCTTGAGACCCTATGGTCAAGAGATTGTCACACACACAAATACATTGAAATCTCTGCTTCAGACAGTTACAGACTTTACTCACCCTGAGGTTCAAGTGCAGGTGGAGCTGGCTGTTCACTGCTGGCTGCAACACTGGTTAGGGAGGTCACTCCCTTCTCTGCCATGTCACAGAGAGACTTCACATAGGGATGGCTCTCCTTGGTGGAGGTGTAGGCTGTTGCAGCCAAGTCACAGGCAGTGCTGACCACAGGGAGATTGGCCACCCTCTTCAGGACATTCTAGTGAGGCAAGGGAGAGAACAATGAAGTCAGGGAAGCAAGGGCCTGTTCTGGCGCTGACCCATTGCTTGTCGAGTGGTTATACCCTTGAATGTGTTAGCCCCCAAATAAAAGGATTGAGCAGTGAGATGAAAGACCAAATAACTGCTTATGATTAGGGTGATCCAGTTTCCTCACTAAACAAAAAACAGTAAGCCAAACTGTGCATGTGGGGAGCCTGCTGTTGTATTTGCATGTTGAGCCAGTGATGCTTAAGAGAAGGTACCTACCTGCTTTTCTTCCACCCCATGCTCTGGTGATTCCACATTTGTCTCTTTTCCATTAGAAGCCATGGTCTAGTCAGATATGCTTGAAAGAAGGCAGAGAGGCTTAAGTCACAAGCAGTAACTGTTCCTAGAGTTAAAGCACCTTAAAGACAGGAACAGTATTCTGCTCCCAAGACTGAAGAGAAATGGCAGTCCCATCATCAGACTAAGAAGGCGCTTAGCTTTACAGGAATACTTGCTCTTTAGTGGGCAGAGACATACACTTTTTTAAAAAGCCACACACAGACACACACCCCATTTCAGTTCCACTAAAGAGAAGGAGAAAGGAAACAAGAGGATTGTCTCATCCGAGTAATTGAAACTACTTTTATAAGCCCATAGAAGGCACCAGCTATGCCATTACAACAGAAGTTGGCCTTTATCTGCACAAAAGAAAAGAGTCTAATGCAATCCTGTCCCCACAGCAGAAGAGCCACTTACAGTTAGCAAGTATTCATTTCCCAGACACTGCTTCCCAACTCATTCTACTTGCAGCTTTTTAACACTCAACACAGGACACACCACACCTCCAAACATTGCTTAGCAGTGTAAGAAATAGCACCAGTCTTACCAAAGAATCAGAAACAAAAGAAAGCTGATTAAAAAAACCTTATTACCCACAAGTCCAACTACATCAAGACTAAGCCTTACACCAGCCCACTAACCTCTCTCACTGCTCCAAACACTGCCTAACACTTCTCACCATCTGGCAGGATTTTATACACACTTGGTGATGTCCTGGTTTGCGTGCAGGGGGTGAAACACTCAAGACTGACAGTTCAGGGAGCCAGTGAAAAGAAGGCTTCCACTTCTCTGACCAATAAGAGAATGCTAATCCCTTGGGGATGGCAAAGTTTGGCACTGAGTTTTTCACTATAGGTGATTCCAATTAACCCCTCTCGGGCCTTTGCTGCCACCCAGCTGAACTCACTTTGATTCCGCTGTCTGTCTTGAAACAGTTGTTAGTTAGGATGAATAAAATGTTCAAAAGCACCTGTGTGGCTTAAAAAGCTATTGCCTTTCATTGCCATTTCCAGTGGGGAAAGGGAGAGAAAAGGGAAAAATACTGAAACAGAACTTTAATTTTTGTTTTGAAATTTTTTTAAAAAATTAATAAAACTTAAACCCAATAAATATAAATTATCTCTGGGGGTGAAGTTGCAGAGAGCCATGTGCCTGTTTCCTCAGTACATTGGCCATAGTTTCAAAGTAAAAACTGGCAGAGTGTCACTCTAAAGTTTGGTAGTTTTCTCCAGTACTTAGGATACTAGTCTAGGATTTGAGCTGGGTTCAATTCTATCCTCTAGCATAGATCGCCTGTGTGACCTTGGGCAAGTCACTTAACCTCTCACATATGCCCTCTGTGTAATGGGGAATAACAGGGTTTCCATGCTTCATAGAAGTTTTGGAAGGTGCTCAGATACTCTCCCAATCAAGGTCATAATGCACCTGAGATTAAGGGTGGCAATAATTTTTAATGGGGGGTACTCCAAGAATTTGGTAAGTGATCAAGAGCTGCACTCTTCCATAATATGAAGGGGTACAGGGTCTTGGACAGGGGTTAAGTGCAGAAGGAAGCTTGGGGTAGGATATTGGGGTGCAGGATGGGGTTGTGGGGCCTGAGAGGGAGTTTGGGTAAAGGAGGGGGTTGCGACTTTGAGCAGGGATTGGGGTACAGGAGGGGAAGCAGAGACCAAGAAGGGATTGTGATCTGGGGCAGGGATGTAGGGATTTGGGTTGTGATCTGGGGTAGGGGATTGGGGTGCAGGGCCTAGGAGAGAGTATGGGTGCAGAAGCGGGGCTACAGAGAGGTGGGTTGTGACCCGGGGCAGGGATACAGGAGTGGAAACATAGGTTTGTGAAGAGGGAGGTGTTGTGGTGCCAGGTACAGGCTCTGGGTGGGTTGCACTTGTCTAGGGCTGGCTTTCACCATCAGCCCTGCAGGCCCCTCTGGTAGGCTCCCTGTCTTGCACATTTCTGCATGCCAGTCAAAGCAGCTGGCTACATAAGAATGGCCATACTGGGTTAGACCAAAGGTCCATCTAGCCCAGTATCCTGTCTGCCAACAGTGGCCAGTGCCCCAGAAGGGGTGGACCGAAGACAATGATCAAACGATTTGTCTCCTACCACCCTTCTCCAGCCTCTGACAAACAGAGGCCAGGGCACCATTCCTTACCCCCTAGCTAATAGCCTTTTATGGACCTAACCCTCCATGAATTTATCTAGCTCTTTTTAAACTCTGTTATAGTCATAGCCTTCATAGCCTCCTCTGGCAAGGAGTTTCACAGGTTGACTGTGCGCTATGTGAAGAAGAACTTTCTTTTATTAGTTTTAAACCTGCTACCCATTAATTTCATTTGGCGTCCTCGAGTTCTTATATTATGGGAAAAAGTAAATAACTTTTCTTTATTCACCTTCTCCACAACACTCCTGATTTTATATACCTTTATTATATCCCCCCTCAGTCTCCTCTTTTCTAAACTGAAAAGTCCCAGTCGCTTTAGCCTCTCCTCATATGAGACCCATTCCAAACCTGTAACCATTTTAGTCGCTCTTTTCTGAACCTTTTCTAATGCCAAAATATCTTTTTTGAGGTGAGGAGACCACATCTGTATGCAGTATTCAAGATGTGGCCATACTATAGTTTTATCCTGGGGCAGTAAGATATTCTTTGTCTTATTTTCTATCTCTTTTTTAATAATTCCTAGCCATCTAGCCCGGTATCCTGTCTGCCAACAGTGGCCAGTGCCCCAGAAGGGGTGGACCGAAGACAATGATCAAACGATTTGTCTCCTACCACCCTTCTCCAGCCTCTGACAAACAGAGGCCAGGGCACCATTCCTTACCCCCTAGCTAATAGCCTTTTATGGACCTAACCCTCCATGAATTTATCTAGCTCTTTTTAAACTCTGTTATAGTCATAGCCTTCATAGCCTCCTCTGGCAAGGAGTTTCACAGGTTGACTGTGCGCTATGTGAAGAAGAACTTTCTTTTATTAGTTTTAAACCTGCTACCCATTAATTTCATTTGGCGTCCTCGAGTTCTTATATTATGGGAAAAAGTAAATAACTTTTCTTTATTCACCTTCTCCACAACACTCCTGATTTTATATACCTTTATTATATCCCCCCTCAGTCTCCTCTTTTCTAAACTGAAAAGTCCCAGTCGCTTTAGCCTCTCCTCATATGAGACCCATTCCAAACCTGTAACCATTTTAGTCGCTCTTTTCTGAACCTTTTCTAATGCCAAAATATCTTTTTTGAGGTGAGGAGACCACATCTGTATGCAGTATTCAAGATGTGGCCATACTATAGTTTTATCCTGGGGCAGTAAGATATTCTTTGTCTTATTTTCTATCTCTTTTTTAATAATTCCTAGCATCCTGTTTGCTTTTTTGATTGCTGCTGCACACTGCGTGGATGTTTTCAGAGGACTGTCCACGATAATTTCAAGATCTCTTTCCTGATTAGTTATAGCTAAATTAGCCCCCATCATATTGTATGTATAGTTGGGGTTATTTTTTCCAATGTGCGTTACTTTACACTTATCCACGTTAAATTTCATTTGCCATTTTCTTGCCCAATCACTAAGTTTGGTGAGATCTTTCTGAAGTTCTTCACAGTCTGCTTTGGTCTTGACTATCTTGAACAGTTTAGTATCGTCTGCAAACTTTGCCACCTCACTGCTCACCCCTTTCTCTAGATTGTTTACGAATAAGTTGAATAGGATTGGTCCTAGGACTGACCCTTGGGGAACACCACTAGTTACCCCTCTCCATTCTTAAAATTTACCATTTATTCCTACTCTTCCTTTCCTGTCTTTTAAACCATTCTCTATCCATGAAAGGACCTTCCCTCTTATCCCATGACAACCTAATTTACACAAGAGCCTTTGGTGAGGGACCTTGTCAAAGGCTTTCTGGAAATCTAAGTATACTATATCTACAAGGGATCCTCCTTGTCCATGTTTGTTAACCCCTTCAGAGAACTCTATTAGATTAGTAAGACAGGATTTCCCTTTACAGAAACCAACAAATTATGTTCTTCTACATGTCTGACAATTTTATTCTTTGTTTCAACTAATTTGCCCAGTACTAATGTTAGATTTACTGGTCTGTAATTGCCAGGGTTGCCTCTAGAGTCCTTTTTAAATATTGGCATTATGTTAGCTGTCTTCCAGTCCTTGGATGCTGATTTAAAGAATAGGTTACAAACCAGAGTCAACAGTTCCGCAATTTCACATTCGAGTTCTTTCAGAACCCTTGGGTGAATGCCATCTGGTCCTGGTGATTTGTTACTGTTACGTTTTTCTATAGACTCATGGACTTTAAGGTCAGAAGGGACCATTATGATCATCTAGTCTGACCCCCTGCACAGTGCAGGCCACAAAATCTCACCCACCCCTCCTAGAATAATCCTCTCACCTATATCTCAGATATTGAATCCTTCAAATACTTTGAAGACCCCAAGATGCAGAGATCCTCTAGCTGTGATCTGTACCCCATGCTACAGAGGAAGGCGAAAAACCTCCAGGGCTTCTGCCAATCTACCCTGGAGGAAAATTCCTTCCCGACCCCAAATATGGCGATCAGCTAAACCCTGAGCATGTGGGCAAGACTCATCAGCCAGACACCCAGAAAGTTCTCTATAGTAACTCCTATCATCCCTCCATTGACCTATTTCCCACTGATAATGAATGGTCAATTAGTTACCAAGATCATGTTCTCTCATCAAACCATCCCCTTCATAAACCCATCTAGTTAAATCTTGAAACCAGATAGATCTTTTGCCCCCACTACTTCCCTTGGAAGGCCGTTCCAGAACCTCACTCCTCTAATGGTTAGAAAATCTGGGACAGTTCCTCAGATTTGTCACCCACAAAGGATGGTGCAAGTTTGGGAATCTCCCTAACATCCTCAGCCATGAAGACTGAAGCAAAGGAATCATTTAGTCTCTCCGCAACGGCTGTATCGTCCTTGCTACGGCAGTCATGTGCATCTATGAGCACTGCAGACGGGAGCTCGCATACTGCTCCCACCCTCAGCGCAATCTTGTAGTTCACATTGGCCAGAAACCTTCTCCTCCCCCTCTTGTACCCCAGATCTGAGTGGCATGCAGGGGCAGGGAAAGCAGGGTAATACCTTAGGTTCCTGCCAACATGCTGAACCAGATCTGGCAGTTTGGCAGGCAAGATTTGACCCACAGGCCACATTTTGCCCACCTCTGCGTTGGATAGATAGTGAAGCATTTTATTGGGGAACAACAGCAGGGTAGAACAACTTTCCCTTTCTCTTCTCTCAGCCCCCATTCAGAAAAACAGTACACGTTTCATGAAAAGGGATGGGTGAGAGAAAAGAGTATTTCTCCCTCTGTCACCCCTTCATTGTTCTTCCTCAGGCTTGAATAGGGACAAAAACTGGTGGCTCTGTCCCAGCCCTGCCCATGATCCAAGCCCTGCCTGTGTGAGGTGTTACTCAGAGTGGACTGTGCAGGTGTTCATCACAGAAGCACACTTGCTCTGCTGGGGTCTTTGGCCTTGGGCCCCTCTCAGGAAGGTTCAGACACACCCTGGGCATGAGCAGAGTGAGATGGTGGCACAAGAGCCGCTGCCTGGAGCCCAGTCATGTGATTAAGTCAATCTCAGCTGCCATTTAAAAACAAATGTTTGCATCTCATGTGGCTACAAAGAAAAGCTCGAGACTACCCATGGACTAGAATCGTGATGACTTTCTAATTACACACTCTAACACCTTTGCCACACTCCTTCCCTGAGGCCCTGTGTGCGCCCCTTCTCCACGGCCTTTAACCCTGCTAACTCCCACCTCCCTTCATTTGATGCTCTCCCCCACCTTCACGAGGCTGGGGGAGTGGTCTGGGGTTGTGGGTTAATGGTGCAAGAAAGGGCTCTGGGTGGTGAGGGCTCCATCTGAGGATAGAAGTGAGGGATCCAGTGAGCAGGAAGGGGCTTCAAGCTGAGGTACAGAGTTGGAATGTGTGGGGGCAGTGGGAAGGAAGGGTATTAGGGCTCCAAGTTACAGCCAGGGATAAGGGGTGTGTGGAGTTGACTCAGGGCTATGACAGGGGAGTATGGGGGGGGGGGAATGTTTCAGTGCACAAGTGGATGCCAGGCTGGGGCCATAGGATCTAGCTAGAGATGTAAATACCTTTTTTTTTAAAAAAAGGTTAACTTGTTAAAATGATAAATTATAATTGTATCATCTGGGGTCTATCTAACCTGCAGCAGGGGAGAGGCTGCTCCAGCCTCTATGGGTACAGTAAGGTTGCTCCAGGTTCCCCTACATTAGGGACTCTTCTCTAGCCAATCAGGGGCCCCTTGCACAGTGGGGCCCACTCTGGCCGGCTGGGGTCTGACTGAACTGCAGCAGGAGGTGGATGGCTAGTGGGTAGCCTTGCATAGCCCTAGTGACACTTACCACGGCTCCCAGCTAGCCCTGGCAGCAGCTTCCTAGGCACAAATAGGCTGTGTACCAGCCTTATGGTTGCAGACAGCCCCTGCAGCTCCCACTGGTTGTAGTTCCTGGGAAAGGCTAAGCACTTCAAGCCCCACTAAGCCTAGAGGCTGTAGGACCCTATCGTACCTATACCAGGTGAGGAGGCCCTTGCCAGTATAGCTTCTTTCAGTTAGGGAAAGGTGCAAGTTGCAGCAGAAATGTGTGCCATGGTAACTCCTTTCTATTGCAAGGAATGCATTCATGCTGGCCTTAGAATTTAAGAGTTCCTGAAGGAGTTTCCTCTATGGAAGGAATGGGATAGGAGAATGTAAAGCAAATGCAGGACTAGGAATAAAAATAGGGCCTAACACATGGGCTAAATAAAAGCAATCACTCTAGCACCCTCCGATATGATGAGGGCCCCCCCATACACAGCCCAGGGAAGAACTACAATTCAAGCTAAGTTCCTTGACAGCCAGTTTGAGGAATGTCCAAGAATTGCTCTATTCAGCACTAATACCTCTGTTTTAATCAGAGTTAAAAAACCTTTTGCACTTAAGTGCTATTAACTATTGCAGTGGAGGTTTTAGTGGAGTGGAGGACTGGGCAAGTGCCCTAAGCAAGTGCTAGGGCCAAGCTGTTTTTGAAAGTGTGGTACCTGTCATGTGAGTCTTAAAATGGTTTAATCACATGCACCAACAGAAGTGGAGTTTCATATTCTGTGACACCTACATCTCACAGCCCCTCTAATATTAAGCCTGTTTTAGGCAAAACAATCTGCTCCCTCCCTGTCACCCAGCACCGAGCAACTCAGGTAGCATCAAGCCAGCCTTTGCTAGAATGATAGTAGGAATTTTAACCAGCTTCATTGTTAGCAACTTGTGGAAGAGTAGCCAGAAGTGAACTTGACCACCACAGCAGTGTGTATATGAAAGAGGAATTACTATCCCAGTAATTCTTCTATTCTAAGACTGAGAAACCAATATTTAGAAGCTAGTTGACCTAGAACTATTGAACCCATTCTAGGGCCTTAATATCTGTAAGTAAAGATAAGCCCATGATGTTAATGAGGTAGTCACTCAGTACCAGTGACTGCTGTGAGCCTGAGAAATAAAGCTGTATGTTGCTGGACTAGTTGCCAGCACATAGGTCACCTACTAAAAGAACACTAGAGTATGCTATTCAAATGCAGTGACATTTTATTTTGAAGGGTCATGTCAAGAACAAACATGTAGCATTAGAAGTATAGTTCATTCACCTGAATAATCTACAGCCTGACAGTTAAACAATCCTTCCCTCAGATTTAAACATCGGGGACACAAGGCCAGGAGACAGCTGAAGTACATTAGCCATATCCCTTCCTAGGGAGGGTGAGGATTAGTACCTCCAGAAATCTAGGTAGAGGTTATAGTAGCCATCCTGCAGAAGAAGTAGACTGGTGCACACAAAGCCAAAGGAGTCGGAAGCATGAGTCCACAAATTCATGGTGAAAGTTGAAATTGTGTTTTTCCAGGTCACAGGTCTTCCTTATCAGTTTTGGATGCTGCTACAATTTCCACTTCCTTAGCTTTAGCTTCAGTTTCTTGGATTTGGGGTTCCAGGGAATCAGAGCCCTTCCTCAATGGAACAAAGGGTCCCACAATCCAAGACAGAGGTGTATTCTGCATCACATATGCCATCAACTCATCCACATATTCCTGAGCCTTGGTCACCATCTCCTGGCTTTGGGTCAGGAGGCTGCTGGAGAGATCCTGGAAGGAACGGGCAGTGGAGAAAGAAGCATGCAGCTCTCCCACATTGCGAGACACCTGTTGCACCTTGTCCTGGAAGTTGGCAGGGAGCCCTTGAATGCTCAATACTAGCACCCGGCAGGCATCCTGCAGTTGCTGGAGAATGCTGCGGGACATGGCCAGAGTCTCAGACTCCATCTGGTGGGGAGACAGAAGACAATATAGATGTTCCCCACATAAAAGGCATCAGATTTGCTGCTACCTCCAGAGGTTTTGGAATACTAGAAGTTGTGCTAGGAGTTGCAGCCAGTCAAGGGAGATCTTTGATAGAAAGACCACAGGCTGTAATTGAGCAGCCTTTCACGGATTAAGGGACAGGCACTTAAAGGTTCCTTTATCTAAAGGAGCCAATGTTGTCAGACTGCTGCTTGCCCTGCAGCCCCATGCAGAAATGCTACTGCAGGGCTCTGTTTTAAAACTGGAGATGCCCTGCCCCCCAGCACATTCCTGTTGGCCAGTTTGGCAGAAACCAGCCAATGGCAGCTACTTGAAGCAACAGGCAGCCAAGAATCATGCCTCAGTTATTCATGAAGCATGTGGCCAGGCAGGAAGTCACTTTAAGTTCTGCAGGCAGGCTAGTTTGGCAGCTGACCAGTAAGTCTCTTGGCCACAGCCTCTCTTGCCTCAAGTCTACACCCCCCCCCCAGTCACCATCCAAACCTTCTGCCCCCCCTTTACACCTATATACCTCCCAGATCTGGCACCCCAGTCTCCTGCCCCAGATCACAATCCCCATCTATCCTAGGTCATGTCCCAAACCCCTGCACTAGGTCAAAACTACCTGCTTCATCCCAACTCCTTCCTGCACCCTAGTCCCTTTTACCCCAAACCCCCTTCTGCACCCAACCTCCATTCCAGACCCTGAATCTCCTCCATTAATATAATTGAGTGCAGCCCTTTACCACTTTCTAAAGTCTTGGAGTGGACCGGTTAAATTATTGCCCACCCCTGTGTTAGAGGCACTATAGTTAGGTCAGAACAGAGCTTTGTATGAATGCTAGTTTCCTTGATTGCAGACTCATGGCCTCCAGTATGTGTTTGTAGACTGTGCTGAGGTTAACTGAAGTGTGAGGAAGCAAACTGACTGAACTGCTTGGGTATAGCATTTCAATCTAAACAAGAAATACTTTCATTATTCTCAGGTCAACAGGATTGAGGAGCTTTAAGATCAAAGTTCCTTTGGATAACTGATCAACTACCCTCCAAGGCCCAGATTACTGACCCGATAGGCAAGTCACGTACATACCTCTGGGTTGGCCAAGTCTCTGATCTCACTGCCTTTTGGCTGCTTCCAGTTGAGCCACATGTGCTGGAACTTCTCCTGGACATCCTGTAGTGTCACACCTTGCTTGGAATGTTCAATCTAGACAGGGGTTAAGTATAGTCAAATACCACATCAGCATTTGCCATGATCAGTTACTCTGCATGCTCTAAACAGCAAGTTTCAGCCCTCAAAATGGGTATGCTCAATGCAGCATGAGTACATCTAGTTACATAGTTCACATAGCCTGACAGTCATCTAAGCCTCATTCTCCTATATAGACCAGTGTAGAATGATTCCCTCTTCCCCCTTCAGGACAGACTCAAAGCTACCAGCTACTTTCTGTATTTGCCCAGGTGCCCAAGGCAGACAGATACTAGGAGTCCAGCTACAAGAGGTTCTTACCAGTCCCATGGTTTGTTGAAGCTGGGAAAGCGCCTCACTGATGCTGTGACTGGTGCGTCTCATCTTGTCCAGGGAATAGCGGTAGGCGCGCTGGCGGAGTTTGGTGGACAGGGAACCTAAACGCACAAAGTAGCTGCGATGCTCTTGTGGTTGTGCCGCAGACACTTCAGCCCCTTCCACAGGTTCTGCAAGTTCCGCTAGAGGGAACAAAGGGAAGGTTGATCACCCTGATTAGAGGTTCGGGGAGGAGAAGGAAGGAACACTAGTGATACTGGAAATTCGGCCCAATCTACTCCAAACTGGCACAAGGGAGTTTTAGCACCTATTAAGAACTATGGAAGTAACATCAGCTTTTCAAAAAGCTGCAGCTGACCCTACTAGATATGACCAAACCTGTTTTTTGCATCCTTGGATAAAGACTATTCATTGAAGTCAGTTTCATGCCCATAGGTCCTTCCAGTACCACCCTATCCCCATTTGTTACTCGAGTCATTTTAAGTGGGCACATGCCCACCAACTCAAAGCTGAGGCATGAGGGTTAAGATATGACAGTGCTGTAGGATCAGCCTGCATTAGGCAAGAGCAACAAGACCAAGGAGAAGAATACAGTTCAGTTTGACCGAGAGGGAGGGTTCCCCTGGTTCCCCCCCCAAAGAAATTTGCCCCATCATCTGTGCTGACCTAGTTCATCCTCAGTCATGGGAAGATAGTGATCCAAGAGCGCTTCAGATTTCTCCAGCACTGCTTCCATCCCACTTATGGCAAGCTGGCCCATTCGTGAGTCTGCAATGGTGCTCATGCCCTCTGCTACCACAGATCTAGTTGTTTTCATGCCATCCTGCATGGCCTCCTTGGTCAGGTCTACCACTCTGATCATGCTCTCCTTGACATCTGTCAGTCTGGATGATACCATCTCCTGTGCATCAGACATGGCCTGGAGAGAAGGACCCATCAAGACATTACTGGCTAGGAATTAATAGAAATAGAGCAGAGTAACCCAGAACTGAACTCAAGGCAGGATGACCACCTGCCTAGTCAATCTTCAGCAGAACTGTATCTCCTCTCAAGCCCTAGGCCAGACTACTGCTCAAACACTAGCTGTTCATTTTAAGCATGGAGAAATAAGCCTATTGTTTTTCTAAATCCTGGCTATGTCACTGTGTAGCATGGTACCTTCTCAGCTGTCTGTTGAATGGTTGGTAGATTCTCCTCCACTTTCTCTGGCTCTTCAGAGGCAACAGGAACAGAGTCTGCTTCTGTCAAGAGAGACAACATAATTTCCTTTAATTCTTCAGTCTTGCTTTTGCAATATCCAGAGACCCTGACTCAGATCTGTAACAAAGCAGACACCCATGTGTTCAGGCAGCAATTGTTTGGGTAGCAGGCACTGCACACTGATACTTGCATTCAATCTAGGGCGGGGGAGGGGAGAGAAGAGGGAAGAATCTTATTTTCCCTGCCTTTCCCCATATAAGCTCTTCCATGCTAGGAGTTGACTTTCTAGACAGGGATCCCTGACAGCTAGCCCCAGTAGTTCCCTCCCAGTCAGTTACTGAAGCATGATGGTTATGGCTACCATGTGAAAGCCTTTTCCCCTCTCTATACTTACTGCAGGATTCATTCTTACCAAAAGATTCTAGGCATTACTTGTCAAGCTTCCTCATCAAGAGGGAGGTTTGTATGTTCTGGATGTAGTAGTCCTAGAGTCTCACAACTTGGAAGCTTTTTTGATCATATCACCATTTCAGCCCTGATGGGCATCAAGAGGTTTTCACAACATCTTGGTGCCAAGAAGTTCAATGAACTGGTGTCAATGAAAACAAGAATGGCCACTGCTCATCACATCAGGCAATAGCCCAATGAGAAGCTAACTAGCTATTTTAACTCAATTACCAGTGTTGTATCTCTGGACTAACACAGCTGCTACAGAGTCAGTGAGGTATTGAACCAACTTCTGCTGATGAAGCTAGCTGGAGCAGCTCATTGTTGAGAGCGCTCACTCTGCAATTAGACCCCTCTGCAAGGAGGGTGTTCCTGAAATGGAAATATCTAAGCACTACACTTTCCTTCATGGTAGCCAGAAGGTAAAGATAGGGTTTAGCAGCAGCAATTCATGTAAGTAAACCCCATCATCTGCTAGGCAGTGTTTGTAGCAATGATACAGCAGCCAATGGATACAGTCACACATACTGTAGCCTCTCTAGCACTTTACAGCTAGAGATTAAGACTCCACTGTTAAGCAATTGCGTGTCACACATAGAAAGCTCTGCATAAGTGCAGGTGGAGCTGGCTGTTCACTGCTGGCTGCAACACTGGTTAGGGAGGTCACTCCCTTCTCTGCCATGTCACAGAGAGACTTCACATAGGGATGGCTCTCCTTGGTGGAGGTGTAGGCCGTGGCAGCCAGGTCACAGGCAGTGCTGACCACAGGGAGACTGGCCACCCTCTTCAGGACATTCTAGTGAGGCAAGGGAGAGAACAATCAAGTCAGGGAAGCAATGGCCTGTCTGGAGCAGACCCATTGGTTTGTGAAGGGGTTATACCCTTGCATGTGGTAGCCACCATTAAAGGCTTGCAAGTTGTATGCAAGGCCTCCTAGCTCATCAGAAGCAGCTGCTAGGCTGAAATTAGAGTGATGCAAGTCTTAGAATGGTCACTAAAGCACAGAGCGGGTGCCATCAGAAAACCACCATGTATTTACATGTTTTACCAGCAGTGATCAACAAGCAAGTACCTACCTGTTGCTCCTCCTCCCCATGCTCTGGGGATGGGATATCTATGTCTCTTCCATTAGCAGCCATGGCCTAGTCAGATATAGCTGAAGGAAGGCAAAAGGAGAGGCTTGAGTTGCAAGTGGTAACTGTTCCTAAGAAAGTTACAGCCCCTCAAGTGAGAGGGGAGTTCTAGTCCTAGACTAGAAAGAAATGAGTAGCCTGTTGTGGGACTACAAGGAGTCTTTGCTCTTTAGTGACTAGAATCCCTTTCTACTGCTTTTTTTTTAAAAAAAAAAAGCAAACATTGCAGTTCTACTACAGCTTGAATCACAGAACACTAGAATAGGAAGAGTTCTAGTTTGTAAGCCCATTGGAGACAACATCTAGGTAGTTAGGAAGCCAAAAAGCCATTTAGTAGTAAAATTAGACTAAAGAATGCAATCCTGTCTCTCACCACTCAAGGGGCTTAAGGTTAGCAAACACTGAAGTCCCCAGAGTCTACCTTTCAACCCATGTCCTACTCTCAGCTTCTAAACACAATACAACACAATCACATTCCAACCATTTCATAACTGCAAAACCAAGAATAAAGAAAGATAGTAGCAAAAACAGCCTTAAAAACCTTATTCTCACTGCCTTTTCTCAGAACTCCAGACACAACCTTACTCCTCATAGCCTCTGGCAAGATTTTATACACACCTGGTGATGTCATTGTTTGGGGGTGGATGGTGAAATACTCAGGACTGACAGTTCAGGGAGCCAGTGAAAAGAAGGCCTCCATTTCCCTGACCAATAAGAGAATGGAAATCCTTTGGGGACTGCAAAGCTTAGGAGTGAGTTCTTCATCATAGGTGATTCCAATTAAACCACTTTGGTTGTTTATTGTCATCAAGCTGAACTCACTTTGATTCCACTGTCTGCCTTGCAATAGACCTTCCCATGATTTCAAATAGGCCTTGCAATAGTTGTTAGATAGGATAAATCAAATCTTCAGATGCACCTATGTGACTTAAAAAGCCATTGACTTTCATTGACATTTTCAATGGGAAAAGGGAAACAAAGGAAGGAAATTGAAACAGAATTTCTACTTTTGTTTTGGAAAAACTAAAAAATTGAAAAAATTAAACCCAACCAAATATAAGCCATGTCTAGAGGTACGGTTGCAGAGAGCAATGTGCCTGTTTCATCATTGGCCACAGTTTCAAAATAAAAACTGGCACACTGTACCACAGCGTGGCACTCAAAGATTGGTAATTTTCTCCGGTGCTTAGAATACTTGCCTAGGATTTGACCTGGGTTCAAGTCTGTGCTCCACCAAAGACCTCCTGTGTGACCTTGGGCAAGTCACTTAACCTCTTAGTGCCTCAATTACCCAGTGTGCATAGGCAATAATAGGGCTTCCGAGCTTGATAGAAGTTTTGTGAAGTACTTGGATACTTTGGCAATCAGAGCCATGTAAATACCTTAGATACTGTACTATTTCGTCAGGGAACTGGGGCACTGTCATGGTTAGTGCAACTGGAATAGCTTTCCCCTCTCTTCTTTGAGCCCCCATTTTTTAAAAAATGGGACATATTCCCTTAAAGGGGTGAGTGGAAGAAAAGAGAGTTTATCCTTCTATTGCCCCTATAGAATCACAGAATCATAGAATGCAAGAACTGGAAGGGACCTCGAGAGATCATCAAGTCCAGTCTCCTGCCCTCACAGCAGGACCAAGCACCATCCAGATGATCCATGATATATTTCTATCCTGCCTGCTCTTAAATATGCCCAATGATGGAAATTCCACAACCTCCCTGGGCAATTTATTCCAGGGTTTAACCACTTTGACAGTTAGGAAGTTTTTCCTAATGTCCAACCTAAACCTCCCTTGCTGCAATTTAAGCCCATTGCTTCTCATCCTAACCTCAGAGGCCAAGGAGAACAATTTTTCTCACTTCCTTCCCTTTTAGATACTTGAAAACAACTATCATGTCTCCCCTCAGTCTTTTCTTTTCTAATAAAACAAGCCCGATTCTTTCAGTCTTCCCTCATAAGTCATGTTTTCTAGACCCTTAATCAATTTTGTTGCACTTCTCTGGACCTTCTCCAATTTCTTCACCTCCATCTTGAAATGTGGCACACAGAACTGGACACGATACTCCAACTGAGGCCTAACCAGCACAGAGTAGAGCGGAAGAATGACTTCTCATGTCTTGCTCACAGCACTCCTGTTAATGCATCCCAGGATCATGTTTACTTTTTTTTTTTTTTTTTGCAACAGTGTCACACTGTTGATTCATGTTTCGCTTGTGGTCAGCTATGATCCCTAGATCCCTTTCTGTAGTACTCCTTCCTAGACAGTCGCTTCCCATTCTTAATGCGTGAAACCGATTGTTCCTTCAGAATGGGAAGTAACTGTCTAGGTCAGGAAGAAGTACTGCAGAAAGGGATCTAGTGGTTGTTGTTTTCCCCTTTATTGTTCTCCCTCAGGCTTGAATTGGGACAAAAACTGGTGGCTCTGTCCCAACCCTGCCCACGATCCAAGCCCTGCCTGTGTGAGGTGATACTCAGAGCAGACTGTGCAGGTGTTCATCACAGGAGCGCGCTTGCTCTGCTGGAGTCTTTGGCCTTGGGCCCTTCTCAGGAAGGTTCAGACACACCCTGGGCATAACCAGAGTCAGATGGAGGCACAAGAGCCACTGCCTGGAGCCCAGTCATGTGATTAGGTCAATCTCAGCTGTAATTTAAAAATAAATGTTTGTATCCCATGTGGCTACAAAGACAAGCTTGAGAATATCCATTGACTAGAACCGTGATATTTGTGTGTGTCATCACCCAGACTCCAGCAGAGGGCGAAGCAGCATCCAGACCAAAAGAGAGAACTGTTTACCTGGCCCTTGCAATTCCTGGTGTTTGTTCACCTCCCTTGACTTCAATAGGGAAATGGCTAGCTGGGCTCTGTGGAATTGGTGGCATCTGGCCCCTTAGCCCCAAGGGTCAGAGTATGGCCAGAGGAGTGTAAATTGTTCTTTAGATTTAATGTTGGTACCTTAACCAGTGCTGAATCCATGTTATGTCCCACCTTGTGGTCTTCTTATAGTAGTGCTTTCACCTTCCCTTATGCACCTGTACCCCAAATGGGCAACTAGACTGAGATTCTGAGATACTGCCTCTTAGCTGCCACCTTTCCCACTTGACACTCTCATGTAACACCGAAATATTTTCATGTGGACAAAGACTGAGTAAATAATATATTTTTCATTTCAAAGACAGATCCAAAAATAAAATTAAAAACAGTTCAAATCAAAATTGATTTTTTCTTCAGTTTTTCCTCATGAAAATGGAACTACTGAAAAAAATGTTTCAAATCATTGAAAAAAATTAATATAATGCTAAGATATTTTATAGTTTTTCATTTCCCATAGATTTTGAGTATTTTTTATCCTTTCATCCCTTTTTTTAAATTTAGCTAAATTTAGAAAAGACTCACCATTTGAAAATGAACAAAAAATTGTTTCATATTGAAGTGGGCAAAAAAGAAATGATTTGAAATGAAAACTTGAAGGCTACGTCTACACTGGCATGAATTTCCGAAAATGCTTTTAACAGAAAGTTTTCCGTTAAAAGCATTTTCGGAAAAGCACGTCTAGATTGGCAGGATGCTTTTCCACAAAAGCACTTTTTGAGGAAAAGTGTCCGTGGCCAATCTAGACGCGGTTTTCCGCACAAAAGCCGATTGCCATTTTCACGATCAGGGCTTTTTTGCGGAAAACAGTACTATGCTGTCTACACTGGCCCTTTTGCACAAAAGTCTTTCGGAAAAAGACTTTTGCCCAAATGGGAGCAGCATAGTTTTTCTGGAAAAGCACTGATGATTTTACATGAGATCGTCAGTGCTTTTCCGGAAATTCAAGCGGCCAGTGTAGACAGCTGGCAAGTTTTTCCGGAAAAGCAGATGATTTTGCGGAAAAACTTGTCAGTCTAGACACAGCCGAAATGTTTTACTTTTCAATGATTGGAACAAACTGCTTTGACTCTCACAATTTCTTGCTCCTGTTTTGTACTGGAATTTGCAAATAGTTTGTATGTCCTAGTAATGCAATTTTGATACATTTATGGTTAACTTTAAAAAAATCACCCAGTTCTAGTGACGATTCTTTATTCTCTGTTCATGTGATTTTGTGTTACCTTTGCTAAATAAGTCATGTTCAGTAACTCAAAGGCTGTAGCAAACTTACACACCTCTTTAGGAGAAATGTCTCCTGGCCATCAACATTGTAGAATAGGTCACACTACCAGTCTGATGTGGCAGTATTTCACACCATTATGCATTGGTGTAAATGACTACACAAGGTGAAAGGCAGTGGAGAATCACACCTGTATTATGCACATGTCCTGGGATATACAGCCCTTGTCTGCGCTAGGACTTTATTTAAAAATAATCCCTCCTCCCGCCCCTGTCCCACAGTTTGAATTTATAAGCCAAGCATCCACACTACCAACCCCGTTATTTTGAAATAACGGGCTGTGGAATTCAAAATCTGTACTCCTGCTTTTCATCAGGAGTAACGTTAATTCCAAAATAGTTATTTCGAAATAGCAGCAGTGTGGACACTCCGGTGCTGCTATTTCAAAATAATTACTCTCCAGAATAATTCAAACGAATAACTCCCCAGTGCTTCCTGGGGCTGTAATTCTGAGGTAGCACGTCCACATGGATGGAGCCTGTCTTGGACTAATTTCGAGGCTTCCCTGTAGTGTG